TATCTGGCAAAGCATCCAATGTTTGGCACTTCTTTTCAAAAATCTGTTTCTCAAAACGATTTTTCGGATTTGGACTCTTTGGTTCAGATTAAGAACCGTGACAATTAATCGAGTCCGAACTGTAGCGAGGGCCCCCCTACGCGGGCGCGTCTACAGGCATGTATTGCAAAGGTGAAAATTATTCATAAACTCCAATAGTAATTGTGTAAGACGTCATTGCAGGTGCATGCTACATATGATTAGAGGTTGTTTGCTTCTGCTTTATTCAGTTGAAGGAATGATCTTTCCATCTCTCCACTGTTATTCTTAGAACCATTTGTAGTTTTTTTTTCTTTTTTATGTAGAAGTACGTGTGCTTACTATTATGGATTATAATATTTTAAGTAATAATGATCATGATGGACTAGTCTACACTGGACCATTTAATAAATGATCTTTTGCAACTGTAGTAGTCACTAAATTTCTCTTCTTCTCTAGTGACATTGTTTTTTCCACACTCAAACAGAGAACAGCTATGAAACATGTGGACCTAGGAGGGATATAACAGATATACCACAGTTAATTATTGTACGTTACAAAAGGAATGCTACAAAACATAGTATTAAAATTAAGGAACAAAAGCCAAAGAAAGTTCAGAGGTTTGGCCTTCTATCTGTTGTGAGATGGATTTTACTACACGGTTTAATTATTGAGATATATTTCACTTTGTATTGAGCAGTTAACGCAAATGCAACATTCTTTGTGATTTAGTGTACCTTTTCACATTGAGTTGTTTCTATTTATTTGGTTGGCAGATCATCAAGTGGATCTCTCAAATAATCGAAGATGGTGACTCTAGGGAGCTCCCCTTTTTTGTAAGTTAGCATAGACAAACTTTTTTAGAATTAAGCTTCCTTTTGGTGCTTGAATGGATGAATTTGTGTATTTTGCTAAGGGGTTTAATTACCTTCACTCCACTATTGATACCTAAGAAGCACAAACATATGACATGACATTGACACACCGACACGCCGACATGTAAATTTTCAAATAATGTAGGACACGACACGTTGGGGACTGCTGCAAAATATATAATTTATTTATGTATTTATCAAATATATGTCATATATAAGGATAAATAACTATTGTGTCTTATATATAAATATTTAAGTAAAATATATTCATTTTTGAAGTATAAAGGAGGAGAATAGGTATAAATTTGCTTAATTTTTGTTGTATCATTGGATTCTAAGTTATTTATTCAAACTCGTAATATGTTTCATGTATGTCTAAGTGTTGGAGAGTGTCCAGCTATGAAGCACGGGTACTCCGAAAATATTTCCATACTCATGAAGGGTACTGGTACGCGTACCATTAGGGTTGCATGCATATCGGGTACATGAAATACGTACCGGGTAGTTTTTATACATTTTTTGGCAAGTGGGTACTTCGTAGGTACATGATGGGTGCATCGGGGGTACACCAAGCCATGGGACATTGATAGTGATACATTTAATTTATTAGAGAGTTACGATTTACTTGAAATTGCAAATCTTTTACTTGATGTGTCAAAGATGAAAGATGTATTATTCAATAATGAAGTTGATGGAAGTGAAAATTGATTTTTCAACTTTCCAAATTTTTCTAGTTTGCTTTTGGAATGAAACTTAGTTTTGTAATTTTTCCTATTTAATGGCATTAAAATAGCATATGGACTTTGCTTTGATATTGGTATTATTGAACTGTGATTTCTCTTTGGTTTTATAATTTTCCTTTTAATTTTGGTGTTGAACTTTGATTTGTAGGTTGAATCTCAAACAATAAACTATGAAAAATAAAAATAAAAAATTGTTGACGTACCACAACCGTACCCATATCCTTTTTTTTTTTTGGAAAGGTTTTGCCATATTAGCGTACTCGTTCTAGTATCCATACCCACACCTGTGCTACATAGGTATTCGATGAGTGTCAAACACGGCACGTTATGTTCTTAGAAGTGTCCATGCTTCTTAGATTGATACTCATTGAACTTTGTGGCTTTTTTAAGGATGTATACACTCTGGAGCTTAGAGTTGCATCTCTTTCATACAAGATGTTGCCTGCTAAAACCTTTTCTGTTTTGTCTCATCGTAGAGAGCAAAAACTCTTGCACTTGTTCCTGAAGATGCAGATCCTATTTGGTCAGTAGGTGCCAAAACAATTCTATCCAAAGGGACAGGAATGAAACAGAGAATTGGTAGCATCATGAATGGAATCCGCAATCGCCTGGGAGATCCAAGGATTGGCCCAGTCTTGCTCTTGGGAGCATTGATGTCTTTTGGTGGCATCTGGCTGCGAAGGAGCCAATCAACTCATCCAAGTCAATCAAATAATCAAACTCAACCGAGCAAAAAAGTAAGTCATGGCAGATTGTGCTCCTGGGAGCATTGTTATCGTTATTTTTGTTCCAACTACTATCTTCATCTCCAATCCAATGTAATTTCATTGACATTCTTCTGACTCATGATTAGTCCTTTCTTTTATTTCCCTTTTCTACTTTTTAGCATCATTGTTTTCCATCTAATTATTTTTTATATATGTGATGTCTTGGCTGCATAATATTTTACTTGATTAATTTAGTAACTTATATTAATATTCTATTAGGATTAGTCCACCCATGTGATATATGTGGTCCCATACATTTGTTAGATTAGTTTAAGCATGTATTTGGGTTAGGATAGTAGAGTCCGAATCTATTGGGAAACCCAATGTGTAGGTTTTGTGTCATGACCCCACTCCGCTCCTAGTAGAATGGTGCCATGATGGCCAGTAATTCGAGATTACCAAAGGCCAACTTACAAGGATTCACACACAATCAGAGTATACATATGGGGCTTACATGTGCGGAAGCAATAAAATTCAATCTAATTAGTCCATAAGAGCTGTGCATAGATTAAATGAAATGACATGCATAACGTGGTTTTACAACTTGAATACAATTAAAATAAATATATAATACATCTTGATCAAAAGGCTTCTCAAGCCGACATAAACAAAAGAAATAAACTACAAGCCAAGAAGCATAATCTTCAAGATGCTAGCAAAAGTATGAATCCCAAAACAAGCATGCAAAATACACCTAAGCGTCACCGCCTTCCTGCTCAACACCTATATATATATATATAAGGAGAGGGTGTGCTTGGATACTCAGTGAATGGTATAAGTAATAAAGGTTTGAATGAATGATATCCGAGATCTTTTCCAAAACAATACATATCATAACTTACAAATCAAGGGGATGAACCAAGTTCATCCGTCAAATCTTTCAAAGCTTCTTGGATGTTAATAACATCTACATAATACTAAAGAATGACATTCTGGACAAACAAACCCACGCAGAAAACCGTCAGTGGCAAAACAAGGGTGCAGTTGCATTATAGTCCCCTGGCACTAAGGACTTTCAAAACAAGGGTGCAGTTGCATTATAGTTCCCTGGCACTAAGGACTTTCCCAAAATGTCATCAAAGCAAATATATTACTAGATACAAAACTAGGGACAGTCATTCATGCTTGATCAAATACTTTTCCAAAACGAAACAAAGCTTTATCAAAACTTTATAACATAACTTTATTAGAAATACCACTCACATAGCTCTTCAAACGTCGGGGTTAAAGCAAGGGTCCAAGTCCTACAAACACATGGCAAAGTCTACTGAATGCACTTCAAGGAGACAAGAAAGAATGCTCAAAGATGGATAAGAAATGCACTCTCAAGACAAGCCTCACATGAATGCAAATGATCCCGGCATTTCCTTCAAGACTAGGTCAAGTCAGAGCAAAGCATACTGGAAGTTAAAACACTATTTTTCATCTCGGGAAAAACTTGCTGGATACCAACCAGGTCTTTGCCGAGGTCCCACACCTCTTGGCCGAGGTGTGGTTACCAAGGCTTCGGCGAACGGCTATCTGCCGAGGTGTTCATGCAAGATAGACTAATGGTGCAAGTGATCGTGCAACATAGGCCAAGGTGAGATACGATGCTTGGCCTAAGTGTGAGATCTAGGCAAGAGTGGTCTCAGTGACCACACCTAGGGAAAGGTGAAGTCTGGAAATCTGGATTTCCTTACTTGAAGCACATGAAGAACATGAACATGAAGAACATAAAGGACATGAATGCTAAAATCATAACTTCTTTATTCAAAATCTGAGATTTCATGCTATGAGTTCAAAAACATGGACCTTGGTACCCATACTTGAAGATCTTAAGAAAATAAACACAAAAACATGGATCTTGATACAAACTTTCGGATCAAAACATAGTTTTATTTCAAGAACAAGAACATCATTTTCCCTTTCTAAAACAAGCTTTAAATCAATGCATGGCTCATGAATCATGCTAGATCATGCAATGTGATCGGATCAATATAAAGAATAACAAGAGTAGATCAAGAATCTAACCTCAAAACATGGATCTAACGGTTTAAATTCTAAGGATCAAGCTTGGAAGCCTACTTCTCTCTCAAGAACTCCTCTTCCTCTTCCTAGAGCTTCTCTCTCTCTTCAAAGGCGAAGATATGACAAAGTGATGTGGGTTTCTCTACTGCCAACAGACTTAACCCTCTACTGGGACACGTGGCAACGACCGGTTGGCTCTCCTCAAAAAGGTGACTGAGTGAAAAGACAAGGCTATGACAAAGTGTGTATGACAAGCAAGGTAGCAAGGGCACTCCGGCGGGTAAGGACCTCAAATTAGAACAAGGCTTCAGCAAGTAAGGTCTCAATGATCTCGGCTATGAAGGATAACACTTGGCCTAGCTGTGCCACACCTCGGCCTAGATGTGCCACACCTCGGTCTAGGTTATACCAGTCCAGGAACAAGATCACCAGGTGCAGGGATCAAAGATCTCTAATACCTAAAGGATAACATCTCGGCTTAGATGATACATATCTCGGCCTCGGTGATGCACACCTCGGCCTGGATGATGACAACTCGGTCAATATGCCAGGGTGAAGGTGGAGGTCAGCCAAAATGGCTCCAAGATGGTCCTAGGCATAAGAGATTCAAGGGTGTGACCTAGGCTTAAGATGACCTCGGCTAAACACACACTAAACAAGGAACAAAGCATGCAACAACACTTAGATAAAACAAAACAAGATCTTATGAATGCAATTTGACAAGACAAAATCATATAAATGCATGTGAGCATGACTAAAGCAAAGTAAGGGTTGTTACATCCTTCCCCCCTTAAAGAAGTTTGGTCCCCAAACTTAACTTACTTTGTCCCCAAAACAACTCCAGATGTCGGGTTCTCATTTCTTCTTATCGTCTCTAGCCTTTACCTTGGAACAATCCTTAATACGATGACTCATCTCACCGCATTCAAAACATGCTCCAGATACCCAATAACAAACCCCAAAATGTTGCTTCCCGCAACTTGTACATGTCAGCCTGGTGTCACCTTCCTAATTCACGTTGTTGGCACTGCCCACATTTACCTTCTTATTGACATCGAACGGTGCTTGGCGATTGTCATAATCCTACCTCTTTCTCTGATTCTCCCCTGAACTCTGGCTTCTGTTCAAGTTAGCTTATGCCAGGATGGCTTTATCTAACACTCCGGCATACGTCGACATGTTGACCATATTAACTCGATCTTGTATTGAGCCCCAAAGTCTACTCTCAAACTTCCTAGCTTTCCTGTATTCATTGTTGACCATGTGGGGTGCATACCTTGTCAACTCGGTGAAAGCACCATCATATTCGGCCACTGTTTTGTTACCCTGCGTCAACATCTAGAATTCTGTGGTCTTGCGATCTTGGACACTGAGGGGAAAGTGCTTGTCGTAGAACAACTCCAAAAATCTGGCCCAAGTCAAACCTGGGTTGCCTTCTCGGATCATCATCCACCATCTACGGGTGTCGTCATCCAATGTGAATGCTGCCAATGACACCTTCTGAGTGTCGGTGCTGGGGAAAACCTCGAACAACTTCTCCATCTCAAGAACCCATGCTTTTGCCTTCATCGGCTCTATACCTCCTTGGAATTTCGGTTCTTTGATCAAGGTCAACGTGCCATCCCCATACAAAGCTGGCTGTGGAGGCACTTGTGGTACTAGGGAAGGTGGATGTGGAACTGCATGTCGGCCATCTGTCTGCTCGGTCGAAGTAGAAGTAGTACCAATGTTCTGTTGCCTTGCTTGCCTCAACTCATGGGCCAAACCCTCTACCATCCTTTCTAATCTGCCCAACCTGTCCTCGGATTGATCTCAGCTAACTGGAGGTCTACCCCTTCTCATGATGCTAGGAGTATGCAAAATGTGACTTTAAAACAAAATGAACAAATAGACATGTATGCAAGTAACAAATGACCATGCCGAGATAATGCACACCTTGTCAAGTAGCAAGCAATATGATGCAATCCTAATATCATTCTAAGGGAAATCCTAAGCTCTTTAGGACTAAAAGTGTGCAGAAGCAATAAAATTCAATCTAATTAGTCCATAAGAGCTGTGCATAGATTAAATGAAATGACATGCATAACGTGGTTTTACAACTTGAATACAATTAAAATAAATACATAATACATCTTGATCAAAAGGCTTCTCAAGCCGACATAAACAAAAGAAATAAACTACAAGCCAAGAAGCTAATCTTCAAGATGCTAGCAAAAGTATGAATCCCAAAACAAGCTTGCAAAATACACCTAGGCGTCACCGCCTTCCTGCTCAACACCTGCATATATATATATATAAGGAGAGGGTGGGCTTGGATACACAGTGAATGGTATAAGTAATAAAGGTTTGAATGAATGATATCCGAGATCTTTTCCAAAACAATACATATCATAACTTTACAAATCAAGGGGATGAACCAAGTTCATCTATCAAATCTTTCAAAGCTTCTTGGATGTTAATAACATCTACATAATACCAAAGGATGACATCTCGGCTTAGATGATACATATCTCGGCCTCGGTGATGCACACCTCAGCCTGGATGATGACATCTCGGCCAATATGCCAGGGTGAGGGTGAAGGTGAAGGTCAGCCAAAGTGGCTCCAAGATGGTCCTAGGCATAAGAGATTCAAGGGTGTGACCTACGCTTAAGATGACCTCGGCTAAACACACACTAAACAAGGAACAAAGCATGCAACAACACTTAGATAAAACAAAACAGGATCTTATGAATGCAATTTGACAAGACAAAATCATATAAATACATGTGAGCATGACTAAAGCAAAGTGAGGGTTGTTACTTTTGGTTGCCTAATTTTATAGAACTAGGTTTTTTGTGGATAGACTACTATAAATAGTCATGGAGACTATGTTTTGGTGAGATTAAGAGGAGGATAAAATAGCAATGTAAGGGGTGACAAAAAATACCGATAAGGCACTAGAGTGATCAATGGTTCAACTACTCTTGAGTATGGGATTTTAGTAGTGATATGGGTTTTGAGCGTGTTAACCATCTCACATGTATTATCTATTTTTTATTCATAGTTGAATCTCTCTCCCGTGGATGTGGGCAATTGGTGCCGAACCACAAAATCTATGTCTAATTGTTTTTCTCTTTGGTGTGTGAGTTGTGTGCTTTTGTTCACATTGGTGGGATGTGGTATAAATCCCATTCACAACATATTCTTTAAAGTTTCCCTTTATTTAGTTCAAATGCAGTCGCATATACCTTGTGGGAAGCAACCCTTTTTTTTATTTTTGTTTTCTTTCTTGACGGTCAGGTTATTGCCTATTCATTAGCATTTTATTACTGCCCCTAACAGATTATTGTACTGAGTGATAGCTTTGAGCATATCTCTGAATCATCTCATTGAACAATTCACATTTTCCAGCTTCGCAATTTCTAGACTAGCCATTCTCATTGAAAAAGCAACACCCCACCCCACCCCAAACTCACAGACACTAAAAACGAAGGAAAAAAAAAAACCAAAAGAAGGATTTTTCTGTCTCCCTCACCACGAATCATTCTTGTATGATTGTTCCTTTGTTGGGAATCTATTGCTTGCTAGTTGAACTTGCTTCCCTCACCACCAATCATTCCTGTATTATTGTGTTCCTTCATTGATATTCTCTAATAATTTTCTTTAACAGTCATCCCCAACCATTTTTCAAAGACATATTGATTCATTTCGAAAAGGAAATTGTGTTTCACTGTGTTGAACTACCTGGAGGCTGCTGGTGTTATGTGTTATATAGTTCCCAACCTCGAAATCTGAATAATTTTTAGCACCACTACCAACATTTCTCCTTTTGGCACCTCTTACTACTAATTACCAAAGTTTTTAAAGGCAAATCCGCAATGTGAGGCATTTTTTCCCTCTTAAGGAGAGGCGTAAACCTCAAGGCGTTTGAGGCATTAGAATTTTGAATTTTATATTAAAGTAGTAAACAAATATTAAAAATTAAATATGATGTAAATACTTTTCTCCTTAATGTGTCAAAAAATTTCATTGTAGAGATGGAAGCTTGCCCTCATCAAAGGTAAATCGGCATTTTTAGCTTAAGTTATCGAGTTGTTCACTTAGTAGCAAAAATTTCCTTCTTGCTTGACGTTTCTTACTCAGAAATGCGGTTCTCCACTCCTAAGGAAGAAACCTGTAAGAAACTCACTTCCATTGAGGAAGAAACTCACACCCATTGGCGAAGAACCTGACACTCAACTGAAATAGAACCTTTTCAAACACACAAAGCTCATAGAAACGAAACAAAAACAATTCAAATCTATTTTGCGACTTTTTATTTATACTTAGTAAAGACAATTTACAGTCGACATCAATCTCCAATATTAATTCCTATTTTAACACATAATTACAACTAACAAACATAAATATCAGTGATCTTAATTTTGCTATGCATAGATAACTGCCCAATTCACTGTAGTGGGACTTGCATAAGCATTTTGTACGTTAAACAGTATTTGTTTTATGCATTTTTATTTTCCTCTGCTTTCTATATGTTTGCTCAATCACCACATGAAAATTTCCTGGATGATGAAGATAGACCAAATCAGAGACGCAAGAAGAGAGCGGTGTCAAACCAAGATTGTCCTCCTTCCATCACTGACACAGAACCAAAAGATGCTTACCAAATGCCACTATCAGATTCTGACTCTGAGTAGTAGATGGTGACTCCGAGTAGTAGATGGTGTTCAAAGGAATCGGGGTTTGACATTAAGCAAATGAAGCACATGGGGTTCTCAAAGTAAAGATCAAAGTTTTATCTCCATTGTGATTATACTGATTTGCTCACAGGTGTAACAAGTAACTAGCAAATGGCTGCCCAACATATATACATTGATCATTTAGAAATTATACCATGAATTTTGGGAACCTGTTTGAATTGATAGTTTGTCCGTTTTAGTTTCAATGTGTGACTGAATTATAACTTTTTGATAATTTTCGATTATGTTACCTTCAGGAGCTGCTTTACCTTTCTTATCTGGAAAAGGAAGCACATATGTGATTGTATCGGTAAGTTGTAAAATTTTAGTGAAAAATTCTCATGAAGATTATGAGGAGATATGTAAAATTTTAGAAGGTTAATTCCTATAAAAGAAAATTTTCAACAAGTTTAGATTAATATATTGTTCAGAACTTAAGGGAGTCTTGAGGTTAATTTCATATTCCTCCCTAAGATTTGGCAAGATGATATCTAGCCCCCAAAAGTTTCTAAGTAGGAAGGGTTGGACATGGGTGTTTCCATTGAGTCTTGTTAAAATATTAAGGTTGTGTTTAGATCAAAGAATTGGAAAGGGAAGAGAAAAAGATGGGTGAAAATAAGTGAAATGTAGTTATATTTCATGTACATTTTATCGAGCTTTTCATTTTGTCTGTCTTTTCTAAATACCACTTAAGTTCATGATCTAAATATAGTTTAAAAAATAAATATCCTCCTTTCATGATCTTAACCAAAATGTCCACGCGTGACAAATTGTTTTTACATTTGAAATTTTGATTTACTACGTTCAATTGAGTGCTAATTTATCTGTTAGAAGGGTCATATAGCATATGCATTGCATGTGCATTGGTAATTCAAAAAAATATAAAAAATTTCGTTTAGTTCTTTAATGATACCCTCTCTAAAATACAAAATTAATGAGCATAGGATGAAATAAAACAAAAAAGAAAAAAATACCATACATAACAAAAGTTTATACTTGATAGTGAGCGTGATGCCTCTTTTTATCGCAATTTTTTTAGCAACCAATGCTGATTTTGCATTTCATCCCTCTAGTTTAAAATTTTCTATTTGATGTCAATCGACAGTGAAATTTCTTTCTAATCTACAAACAATGAAATATGGTCTTTCATTTTGTAGTACTTAATTTTGGATTTTGGATTTTGGATTTTTAATATGAAATTTCTCTATTCATGGATAATAAAAATTTCATTGTTTGTGAAAAATCTAGAAATCCTCTAGATATTGATTTGTGATTATGTAACAATTTTAAGCAATATATAACAATCCCAATCAAACAATCAAGACAAATCAACACAATGATTTTAACGTGGAAAACCCACAATTGGACACCTCCAACTGTGATTAAAAAACCACGGGCAACAGCCACAAAACAATCCACTAAGAAGATTTAAAGGAATTACACAGGTATACTCTCAATTACCTAGCGAATCCACGCCTAATTGAACCAACCTCTATGTGCCTCTTCCAACCCCGTCTTCACCTCGGAATTGTCTTTACGATGAGCCACTCCAGAATCCACCGAAGCTTCAGGCTCGAATTCTTCAGAATCCATCGAAAGAACACTCTCTCTCTCCTCTCCTGCTCTCTCTCTCTCTTCTCTCCTTGTGTATAACAAACAAAACCTTTATATACGCTCTTTAAACCATGAGTTGGAATACTCAATAAAACATCAAAGAAACTAACAAAATATCCCAGATATAAACCTTAAGAACCAAAAAGAAGATCTGAGGATTCAAGTTTTTTGGGAGAAACCAACTATTTATAGAAAATCCCAAAAGTAATCCTAGTTTTGAAAGAAATCCAATTACTTATAGAAATGCCTAAAAGAATCCTGAATTTTGGAAAAAAATCAACTTCTAAAGGAAATCCTTGTCAAACGGTCGATTGCCAAATGAATAAAACCTAACATCTCCCCTTTGGGCAATGCCGTGACAAAAACACATCTAACAAAAAAATCCTAAACAACCCCAACCCATTACAGGCCAACAAAAACCAACTTTCTTCTGTCAAGGTTCATGATTCTGCAAAAACAGCTATTTGTGCCACAATCTCCAAAACACTATTAGTCCCACAAGAGTATAAGAAGAAAACAAAAACATAGGAAAGGATTTCTTGAAAATGAGATGGAACCATGAATACGATGAAAACTCAAGGACTCATGAAAAAATCAAGCTCTCAAACAACAAAACAAGATCATAAACTAGCAACAAAAAAGCAAGATCATAAACCAACCCAAGTGTCAAGATGAACCAAACTCCCCCTCACTAAAGCAACTACAAACATGAAAACAATGAACAAGAAGAAAACGACAAAAATAATATGGTGGAGCCAATCTAGAAATTTCATATTATGTACCTTAAAACACACAAGATTATCCAAGAAGCACAATTACTAGTAAACACAATGTGTACAGTTTGTAGAAGATTCCTCATGAAAGAAAGTGATGCATTATGTGAAAAGCATAGATCCCATGATAAAAGTGTGTGTGTGACTCTTGGAGTTCGACAAACACTAGATTCAATCCTAGTAGTGATATGAAAGCTGGACCTCCAACAAGAGAATCTAAGCACGACAAAGGAAAGTCAAACCACTAGGAATCAAGGGGTATTTGGTGAGTAAAGGCGGAGGCTCCCCTCAATCAATGAATCTTTTCTTCTTCTTCTTTTTTTCTTTCTTTTGCACATTTTTTTTTCTTTGGCATATTTTTTTCTTTTTCTTTTTCTTTTTCTTTATCTTTTTCTTTTTCTTTTTCTTTTTCCTTTGCACAATCATTAGCGGCTGACATGCTAAGGTAGCCTTTTCCTCATGGCTAGACTACAAAGAATCGAGGGGAAAGCCATGGAGATGCAAAAAGATGGTAGGTGGTTAAGAGACTCAACATCACCCATGTTATGCTAGTATAGGTCAAATCCTCTAGAAACGCAAAAGATCAATGACAGAAGTCCATAGAGAAAAAATAATCACTAAGGCGGAAGACTCCAAAATTTGCTAATCCAAGAGTGTGTACAGAATGAGACATACTAATTAAAAAACACGCACTCCAAAACGAGTAATGACCACAGAAAGCATACATATATTAACATGTAATGGATATTCTCATCAATTCCAATATGCACCAAGGACCACTCAAAAATTTCAAGCTTGCAAAACCATACTACGAAAATCTTTTTGGGATTTTTTTTTTTCCTTTTTTTTTTAAAAAAAAAAACAAGACAAAAAAAAAACATGCACACATTTTTTTTTTCATAAAAAAAAACACACAGAAACCCAAAAACTAAAACAAATAAACAAATTAACACAAGTCAAGTTTTCTCACCCAAACCGCTTTAGTATGAACAAAGTTGTAAGCATTGCGGCTCTTGGGTGGTGTTTTGACGTTGTGGTTCCCTTTGCTTTCAATGAGAACCCGTCTTGACATGGTTTCTAACTTCTTATTCCTAGGTCTAGGAAAACATAGCCTCTGTTCATGTTTGGTCTCAAGTAAATCAAAATGGCAAAGTTTATTATGACTCTTAACCTCCTTATGACCAATGAAGTGTCTCTTACCCCATGAGATATTAGAATTTCTTCCATCTTTATGAGACACTCTCCCATGCAACTTATAACAATAAGGGCGAATATGGCCATGCATACCACAATGATGACAAATAAAAACAGGGTGTACAGGATGTACCTTCTTTTCTTTTACCTTACCAACTCTAGCAAGTTTAAGAAGTCCATCCTTATGTTGAATTTTTTGTTCTGCTTTTCCTTGAGTTCTTGTATCATGAGATGTGGATGCATTCTGTTTTTGCTCTTTCTTACCACCAAAGCCAATGCCACTCTTGTCAGAACAAATTTGTTGAGTCCAAAGTCTTTGATCCTCTATTCCAAAGACCAAAGGTAGCCATAACACACTTGAGCTCTTCCTCTTTCTTGATCATTAGTTCTTCCAAAGCAACTTGTGAAATCTCGAGAGTTTCAATTTTTTCTTTATATGTTGCATAGATTTGTTGTAGCTCGTTCCTCTCTGTCTCACAAGTCAAGAGTTTTGCACAAAGAGCTTGTCGATCATTAGCTATCTTGATGGCATCAGTCCTAGCCTCGGAAATCTCCTCCTTAAGTTTGACATTCTCACTTTCACATGCTTTGAGTTTCTTTGTGAGTATGTCATTTAACTTGAATAAGTTAAGAGACTCCTTATACAACTTTTCATAAGCTTGCTCAAGCTCTTCATCATCACTCTCTGAGGATTCGTCAAGTAGAGGTGGTCGAACCATAGAATTTCCCTCACGAATTGAATCCATTATCACAAATCAAACAAGATCTCGTTCTAAATTTGAGGTAGGGATATCCTACTCCTCTCTATGGATTTTGTCTTTAAATTTTAGTATTTTGAGATGTTGGGGTTGGTTTGGTAATTTTGTGAGAGTTTGGGGCTTTTGTGTTATTTTACAAAAGTTGGGGTTTTATTCATAATAAACCTAGATGCATGTTTGGCATGGAGTATTGGAATAAATGTTGAATCATTGATGAAAATGGGACCTAAGGGTTGAAATGGTAATTATGGAAAATGACCTAATTACATTGTTTGATTAATTGGGATAATTAATTGTGAGAAATGAGGTAATGAAATGGAATTGTTGAGAATGGGAATCTATGAGGTTAAAGGGTGTAGTTGATTTATTTGTCACTCACCGGAATGAAATGTTGATTGAATATCCATTTGTGCATTTATTTTCTGTTTAGAAATAATTGCTTTGGGCTATCGGTGGAGGATAGTCGTGATTGTTGTAGACAATGCATGATGATTAGGCAAACGGAAACTAATCAATGGAATGTGTCATGGAATTTGACGGTTGATAGAATACATTAACTGTATGTATTGAGTGATTGTATTAGAAGAATGTGGTTATTTCATTTGTCAATGAATGTCTTATTTGATG